ATGATGGGGCTATCCAACTTCGACGCATGTAATATTCATACGTGCTTCTTAGGCCATATAAATTCCGCTTGCTGTTAACTGATATCTTGACTTATCAGGGAAAGTACCAGGGGTCGAAATAGATTTTGGAGTCAACTTGCACGACTGGTGCAGATGAAAAAAAAATTACTTGCACAAAAAAAGAAATAGTTGCACCCCTCAAAAATAATAGGTACATAACCAAAAGTACATGTAGTACAAATGTAACTGTAATAGTATCGAATATTTGCTTACACTGCTAACCATGGCAGCGACTTAGATAGTAAATTTCTACTTATTATTTAAAAAAAATTAAGAAAAACTCCCTGGATTCTGGTTCTGCTACCTTTTCAGTTCTTTATTAGGTATTTTTATGGGTTAGTGTATTAACGGATAAAGCTTACTTGTAACGGTGCACACCGGTAAAAAAAATTAGTTGCACGGCACCAAATTAAAAAAAAACCCTGCACCAACTAGCACGCGGAGAGGTATTTCGAAACGTTACGTCGGTTTGTGTGATACGTAGTTCTGAAGACGAATGCGTCCCGTCATGGTTAGTAGCTGTGGTGTTTATCCGTGTTGACTTCGTCATCAGTCATGTACTTGATAAGGTTTAATGATTTCTATGGATGACAGACTCTACGGTCCTAACGCAGAGGCGTTGGCAATTTGAAACATGCCAGAAATAATAACTACAGCGATATGTAACGAAAAAGAACTTCGTAAAACTAGCAGTTTTTCGTACGCTTTTGTTACATGCCGGCCAGAATCTGAGACCTTTGAACTCCTGCCATTCTGCCAGTCAATCTCCCCCTCCCATGTGCTATCAACCTAATTTGTTCGGACAAACAGGCGCACAACCCCACAGCTCAGCCACCCCAAACAATAACGTTGACACAATTAAATATTGCGAAATAGCGCAATGTCAGCAATGTGCGATGGAACCACGTTTTCTGGTTAACACAAGTTTGCACCAAATGCTGCTGTTGTTTCTACCTACGGGAAACAATCAAATACTTCGGGAGCCATTTAAAGAAAGCATTAACGTCTTGAACACGAAGACAAGAAGTTGTGTATTGTTGCTACACCCTACTTAATGATTAAAGGCGTATTCCGGACCCGCCGTCTCTGCAATAATGAGAAAACGGAGTAGCAAATTAACTCGGTGGTCCGCTTTTCGTGGAGGGAATTCTAACCCGTGCGCGCAGAGCCTGCATGTCTGAATGGCATTGATTTTCTCATCAGTCCGGGTACAGGGCTACATCATTCGTCAAACGCTGGCATTTCCAGAACGAGCGCACTTTCGGTATGTAGGCATTAGCACTTGCGTACAGTGTGTGATGTATCGTACAGCCGTACCGTAACTTGGCCGAACTGCAATCAAACGGTCTGGAAGTCCTGAAGCACTTAAAACATCGTAAGAGCCCACTGGACGTTACGGGACCTTATGGCCCATTCCATTCCGGATCTTGGGAAACATTAACACTTGCGTACATGTCTGGGTGATGTATGGTACAGTCGTGTGTGCGGTAATCAAGCGTTCTGATTGAGAGAGTTGCGTGGGGCCTTACAGACCCGAGTTTCCGTTGATCCGCCTATTCCTTTCCTCGGAGCATCAATTATCTCCCACCACTAATGCGGAATGTCTTACGTGCGGAGAGAAGCCTGTTCGCGGTCTCATTTTCCCCAGTATCCAGCTGGATTAACCGACGGGAAAGGCCGCGATCGACCTCTTCAAGAGGGCCCATTTCTGTCCACTTTTTACCTTCGCCAAGAAGGTTATGTTTTCAGGGGCGTTCGTGTATGTGTGTGTGTGTGTGTGTGTCTGTCTGTAAACACGATAACTTGAGAAGGCCTTTATGGATTGTCTTGATACTTGGTAGGTGGGTAGGTCTTGATGAGACCTCAAAATGATTAGATTTTGGACCCCCTAGCGGCTTGTTATGGTACTGCAGCTGAACTTCCGGTTTTGATATCTCATGATCTAGACATGCTATGGTGATGAAATTTAGATAGTAGGTAGCTCTTGTGCTGGGAGAGAAGTGACGTGAGTTTAGGCCCCCTAGCGGCTTGCTCTGGAACTGCAGGAATAAATTCTTGAAAATATTCAAAAGGGGATAACTCAAGAACCGGTTGACGGATCGTCGTGATTTTTGGTATGTAGGTAGCTTACGTGATGCTTAATATAATTATGTGACAATTATGCAAATATGGATGTAATTTGCATAATTTATGGGGAAATTCTATAAATCAGCTGCATTCCATGATATGACAATTGAAGCTTGTGACATTGGTAATTGACAACGAGAGAAACACAGGAAGATGCTGATTATGTTAATAATGACTTAATTTGCATAATTAATGAGAAAATTTTATAATTATGTAATGATAACTGCCTGGAATTTCATACTTGTGGTATTTGAAAGTTAAATTGAGATGAACATCATTGAACATAATTTATTCAAATCAGGACCTCATTTGCATAATTGATTAGGAAATGCTAGAATGCATTCTTTGTTAATATAAGACTGTCTTTTGGCTGAGATTATGATAAAATGATATAATTAATGAAAATTAGGTTCCTATTTCTTAAATCAGGGGGGAATAATCTAATCTAAACTTTGTCAGTCATAAAATTTAACATCATTTGGCGAAGGTATGAGATCGGGGAGCTCTAGTTCGCTTTGAAGTTCCAGGCTTGAGAAATGCTCTAGGTTCGAGTATAATTAGAGCTGTGTACCTAAACAAATTTTAGGTACAGGTACAGGTACAGGTACACAGGTTTAGGTACAGGTCCGGACCTGAACCTGTACCTGAACAATTCGACCAATTTATATGCTCTTTTGAACTCCTTCAATAACAAAAAAAAATTAATAAACTCGATAGTTAAGGTTTATTCTTTGTTTATGGCGAATGCTCAGATAAAATATAGGCAAAACTAAGATGTTTTTATTTTCATGAACACACTGTCCTTACACAGAGACCCATTGTGGACCAGTTATTTACACATTTGAGGTCACATATAGGCATAAAATTGGTGTGAAATTGTTTAGGTACAGTACCGGTACTGAGGGATTAGGTATTTTGGACCTGTACCTAATCAATTTTTCCGGTACAGTATCGGTACTGCGTACCGGTACACAGCTCTAAGTATAATGATTGTGAATGGTGTACAATACGACAGCCAAGGCGTCAGCTTGCAATGGAACGAGTCCTGTACAAGCAGAGGTTGTTTTGGAAAATTGTGACGTTCCTTTTTCGTCAACAGCCGGCCCAATCCCAGATCGATGGCCAACAGGATAGTGTCTTACCCGTTGGATATTGTCCTGTCGGTTAGTTACGACTTTGCCACCGAAAGATCAACTTGGACTTGGAGATTACGTAGATTTATACAGCTACATACCAACGTACTAGTATCAGTCAATACAAATACATTCTCAAGTTACAAGATAGGAGCGTCACTCACGCTACCAGGTCAACATGGCAAGGTTCAATCTCGGTCGTTGTGATCGTCATTAGCCTCCTTCGCAGACTTCTGAGGCGTCAATTTTGTTTCGGGGAGCGTCGCGAGTTATGCTGTGGACTGCGCGGACGGGAAGGTATTGCCGTCGAGGGACTTTGCCGGGGGGCGGCTTCGCAGCCTAAAGGTCCCCGAAAAAAAATTAACGCCGCCTCAAAAGTCTGCGAAGGAGGCTAGACCGTCGACACGTTTCCTGACAATCAGGTGAAACTACTATCCAGTAATCATCTCAACTCGGAAATAGAGCGCCGTCAACACGGCTTGCAAAGACATCATCGGTAGATTACATCGTGTCCCCAGTCCTGCTGCAGTGATTCGTGTCAAACTCTCAAAGCGGGATTTCATTAATGTCTCTTACACAGACCATCAATCACATGCCGTGTATTCTGAGCCGTACTACAGATAGGATGGAGTGGAACAGTGAAAAGGTGCGACGTGTCATTTTCGTCATTCACTCAAAGGCTTACCGCCATCAAAGGGACCTGCGTGATTGGCCCATCATTTCAAAAGGAGGAAAATTGAACGCCGGGAAAACGATTTTTCACCCGCCCACGCTTTTATCCTGTAGATTGGTTATCATTGGTAACGTTACATGTATCTGGATGGATGTTTGCGTGCCAAGTGATAGCTATCCATTCGGTCCCAGCGACACGCAGACTAATGAAGGAACACGCAGGCAGGGTTTAAGAGCTTCGCAGCCTTAGTTTGTTAGGAGGCAAATGGGGACATCTACTCTAGGGTCTACCAACCTAATCTTCAAGAAGATTCCTATGGGACTGGGGATTATCAAATTGGCCACGCGAGTTACCATTTGCCCAGGTAACGGATCTATCGTAAATAGTTACAAGGGTGGCCGATTTGATCGTACCCTGCCCCCAAAGGAATCTGTTCGGAGATTACAAACTTCATACGGCCACCTTTGAATTTTGATAGCTGTAACCCATTACGTGAACGTTAGGTCACGTGTCCGAAGTAGTGGGTCATTTGTCGTGAAGAGGGCCAAACTGGAGGTGTGTGATAACTTCTTACATGTAATTCTTCCTTCTACAACTTCGTGGGATTGGAATGATGAGTGCTAGACATCCCATTACTATAAGGCAGTACCGGTTTCCAACATCATAATCTCACATGCAAAAGCCAAGTGTTGTTCAAGTAGGCGTTGGAAAATAACGCAAGATTGAAAACGGAGGCTTCATACTAAATGTCATAGCAGCCGTAAAGCGCCCCTAGCGATAGATAGCGACAGTACAATCACAGGCTTGTAGAAGGCGATACATCACTGAAATCTTGAGCGCTTCAAAAGCCGCCATATTCATGGAATGTCATGTGTATGCGTGACAGCGAATATCATGCATATTGTTGGATTGCCATGGGGTTAGTCGTGATGTCGAGGATGCCTCTATGAATTAATATTTTGGCTTTCCCAAAGGACAAGCAAGGACACAAGCGAACGCGAACATACCGCCTCATGTCGTGGCAATGCCCTGCCAACCACTTGGGCCAAAAGACGGGGCTTCAGCGCAGGGCGAAGTTTTGGAACTACAGCAGCCGTCAGCATTGCTGGCATGATAAGTTGGCACGGTTTAGGGACTATGTATTATAATTTTCGGGAACTGAGGTAGGAAACTGTCCTCTAATATTGAGGTCAGAGGTTAAACAAGGGTAAGCCGCATATAAACGCAAATTAGCAGAACATTGTATTTGAGTAACAGGAGACCATTCCACATACATCAATTTATTGTAACATTTGAGAGTAAAACAAAAGGTATAAAGTGGGTGATAGATTGAGTGAAATCTTATACAACGGCAAAATTAGGCGGATTTTATATGATATACAGAATTTTTGTTTGCAGCCCTCAGTCTCGCTCGTGTTCTCGCGTTCCCCAAGTCTCGCGAGAAACGTTTGTTTGAGGAGTCTGACCTTTGACCGACGTTCCGCGCCGTTGTTTGCCCTAGCAACAACCTACACACAGCCGGACTGACTGGACGTGCGGACAGCGTTCTCCTCTTTATCACTCAATTCTTGGCATTTCTGACCGAAGAACGACGCAAAATGAGTAACAGACAAATTCTACAAGGTATCTAGACTTTACTTTAACAGTTTTGTGGCGTTATTTTAAAGCGGAGGGGGTTTAGGAAACAATGGATCATGAGTTAAGTTGGTGTGGCCAAGTACGTGGCAAAAGTTGTACTCGATCCGTGCCCTTTCAGGACTCTTATAAGGGAGTTCAGCAAAATTTTTCCAAAGTTGGGTGACTAGATAGTAATAGTATATATTTTGTTCAACTCTGTTGTTTTGATGAGTATTTCTTAGGAATATCTATGGCTGGTATTCTACGTTGTAACTATGACAAATGTTTGTATACACACACATATACAAATTGTACAAGCGTTTGGAATCTCAGTTTTCGCATTCGTGTGAATGTTGGTACTTTTTTTCCACCCAGTTTTTGAGCAATACCAGAAGTCGCGCACAGCCTTCGTGCAGACTGTAGCAGAACTTGCATCGCGACCGCAGAATATCGAAACTCTGCAAAATGCAGGTAAGCTACATATAACCTCCTTTGTTCATTTAATAGCTACATAGAAATTGAGATTTCTAACTGTTGACTCCGATACTACCTGGGGGTTTTCAGTATACCTGAGACGAGGGCTGGGAGGGGTTTGGTTGTGATGTGGGAGACGAAACCTAACCTAACCCCAATCGTAACCCTAGCCCTGAACAATGTTCCCTACCCTAGCCCTAACCCTAATACCAACCCTAACCCTAACCCTTAAGCTCTTAACACCTGGCCTCTCATGTATATGAGATTTGGCTTAAGGATTTGGCTCAACATTGGTCAATTGGCTTTGCCCTGAGCAATACTGTTGAAATTTTTTTTTTACAAATTTGCCTGCTGTGAGAATGTGTAAACTGACTCCACCCCCCTCCCCAGGTGTGATGTCCCTGCTGCGGCCGCTCCTGTTGGATATCGTGCCCACCATCCAGCAGACGGCGGCGCTGGCTCTCGGTCGCCTGGCCAACTATAACGACGACCTGGCGGAGGCCGTGGTGAAGGGAGACATCCTGCCCCAGCTGGTCTACTCTCTGGCTGAACAGAACGTAAGTTAAAAAACTTCCTGCAATGATCAGTACAGGGCTCTACTAGCCAGCTTGAAATTTTTTTCCGTAAGCCCAGGTTTATCATTGGATTTTGGGAGGTATTTGGGAAAAGCTAAAAATTGCACTTGTTGCTATACACCGTATCTAAAAATCAGTATGAAAAAATAACTGAACTTTATATTCCAACACTAAAATGAAATTGGGACTTCCCCAAATTTTTGGTTCGCTCCCTCAACCTTGTTCATGGAATGGACCTGTGTACTTCTGGTACGTGATGTTCAAGGACACATGACTTTACCAGCGTAATATTTACCAACACAGATGAGCTTCTGTGCTAATTTAATTTACAAAAATCATGGTTGTTCCCCCTGTACAGAGGTTCTACAAGAAGGCAGCAGCGTTTGTTCTGCGTGCCGTGGCCAAGCACTCCCCCCAGCTGGCCCAGTCTGTAGTGGACTGCGGCGCCCTGGACGCACTGGTCATCTGTCTGGAGGAGTTTGACCCTGGTGTGAAGGAGGCCGCGGCCTGGGCCCTGGGCTACGTGGCCAGGCACAATGCTGGTGAGCAGCCGTTTAACCTTCAGCATGCTAAGATAGCCATGGTACCAAGTTTGTACTGGTTATTGGGTTCAGCAGCAGGGAGAAGGTTAAGAATTACTAAATCCTTTGGTCTTTGGAATCTCCTATGTTGGGTTTACAAAAACTATGGACTAGCTTAAACATCTAGATGGTGAGTCAGGGGATTTCTGGTTCAGATTTTATATTGATCACGTGTTCAGAAACTACTTTTAATTTTGTCATGTGTAAAGTGCCAAATCAGATATGACAATTCCTCATTCGCCACACTCACTCGGTGGTTTATTTAGTGGCTATCGCACCTGACCAGGGATTATCTCACCATATACACCTTGGGGTGGGGCTTTAACCATTTCTTATAGAATGATAATGTTTGAGCTGCTTGATACTATTTGTTAATTACATGTATTTCCCTCTCTGCCCACAGAGCTTGCCCAGGCAGTAGTTGACGCAGGCGCAGTGCCCCTGCTGGTCCTGTGTATCCAGGAACCAGAGCTGGCGCTGAAGCGCATCTCCGCCTCGGCCCTGAGCGACATCTGTAAACACTCCCCCGAGCTGGCGCAGACTGTGGTGGACGCGGGAGCCATCGCACACCTCGCACAGATGATCCTCAACCCTGATGCCAAACTCAAGGTGAGCTGTTCATCTTGTCCATTTTGATGTACTGTACTGTAGTAAAGCCCACATGACATGTACATCTTTTGGAAATACAATACAGTACAGTACTCACTTACAAATCAAATCTCTTAATCTTTCCACATTTATGTCATCCTTAGTTTGAGCTTAGTTTGATAAGAATACTGTTTACAGACAAATCAACCTTGTTTTTCGTTGTGGTATAGAAGGTAATAAATTAAGGATTTGCAAAAAACTCACTCTCAATAAGTAGGGAATTTACTCAGAAAACGTGTGTTGCAGATGGTCGTAAATTGTAGAACAATTATATACAACGTAGTCATAGAACTAATGTGTGTTTAACAGACGGAACCAAACAGTCAATCCCAGACTATGGATTTAAAGTCTGTTCAGAAGTGACTCTCCTGCGCCCTCCCTTTTCCAGTCTAACATGTCATGCCCCTTTGTTCTCCCCACAGCGTCAAGTGTTCTCAGCCCTGAGTCAGATTGCCAAACACTCGGTGGACCTGGCGGAGATGGTGGTGGAGGCGGAGATCTTCCCCGCCGTGCTCACCTGTCTGAAGGACCCTGACGAGTACGTCAGGAAGAACGTCGCCACACTCATCAGGGAGATAGTCAAGCACACACCTGAGGTCAGCATCTTCATATCTTGTCGCAGTTTGCATACATCTTCAGCCTGTTTCTTTGTTGTATTTCTTAAAGATGGCCTATGAAGTTTTTGCTCAAAGTTAACTTAATCGTTGTATTGAATAACACAAGCCTAGGGTTATTCACAGAAAATACTGCTAGCCACATTTTTCCAGAGACATTATGGGAGTATTGCTTTGAGTGGTTTAGCTGCGGGGTTGTGTGTCTGTTTGACTGGACAGAGTGGGTTGACAACACATGGGGGGGGGAGATTGACAGGCAAAATAACTGGAGGACCAAAAAGTCAGACACAGGAAATGGGATGAACTTGAAGATAAAAAATACTTCTGAAATGTTAAATTTCTTGTTTGTACATGTAGTTTGTGGAAAAATGTAGTGACGATTTGATGTTTTTTCACAGCTTGCCCAGTTGGTGGTGAATGCAGGAGGTGTAGCCGCTGTGGTGGATTATGTCGGAGACTGTAAGGGTAACGTACGTCTGCCCGGTGTGATGATGCTGGGATACGTGGCCGCACACAGCGAGAACCTCGCCATGGCTGTCATCGTGTCAAAGGTGAGAAACTGATTGCAACTGTCTCAATAAAAGAGAATGTATGTCTTGCAATCTTGGTTGGACAAGTAATTTGTAATGTGTGAATGAAAAGCACATTTTAAAACACAAATGTTAGTAAAGCATGATGTTTGGTCAAGGGGTAATCAAATCTGCAGTTAGGCCAAGGCGTTGATACTGGATGATGCCTGTTGTTGCTAGTCCGACATTCATGTTACTGGAAAGGGTTCCAGTCTTTGGGATGGGATTTCAAAACATGTTGTCCACTTTTCATTGAACACACTGTCAAAAACAGGTGTTGAACATGTACATACAAAATGTATGTGTAGTGCCTATGTATACCATTCTTGATAAACCTGAAGTCTAGAATACCCCTATTGTAAGCAAAAACTACATTGCCCAATGACTTGCTGTTTTTCAGGGAGTAGTCCAGTTGGCGGTCACGTTTGCCGAAGAGCCGGAGGACCACATCCAGGCAGCCGCGGCCTGGGCACTGGGACAGATCGGACGCCACACACCAGAACACGCCAAGGCTGTCGCAGCCTCCAACATCCTACCCAAACTCCTCGCATCCTACTTACGTGCAGATGCCTCCGAAGATCTACAGACCAAGGTAGGAGCTTGTCTTGTTTTTATTAGATTTTAGTGCAGACTTTGAACTAAATGTGATGTCATCTCTGTTACCAATTCCCTGTGTTACTGCTTATTTAGATACATTTATACACAGAGCATACAGTCACAGTTTTAGCACAGAAATGACTTATGAAAATACTATACGAAGTGCAAAAAAAGTATAGAAAAAAAAACTAAGGTGACAAAATTGCAGAAGTTAGATTATGTCATTCCTTTTGACATTTTGATCATTGAACAGCTATAACTTACAGCATTTCTTAATTCTGAAACATTGTACATTGCAGGCAAAGAAGGCCCTGAAGAACATCCTACAGAAGTGTGTACACCTCCCAGCTCTGGAACCTCTGCTGCACGACGCTCCTCCAAACATCCTCAAACACGTGGTCGGACAGTTCAGCAAGGTAGGCAATAGGCTTTTCAACTAGACAATTAAATAAGATACTGACCATTTGGTCAGCATTGCTTCAGTATAATGCTATCTTCTACTGAGACTTATTTTGGAGGAATATTTCTCACTTTTTCGCTATCTTTTTTAAGACAATTTTACAAAAAGTTGAAATTAAGAGAAGCCTTTTAGCCCCAAATGTCTTTTATTTCTCAGTATAGACATGTAGAGAAATTGTTAAGGAAATTAATACGAAGAATTTTGATCTGTAAATCAGTTAGCTGGACTGCTTACGTTTAGATTTAGAGTTGCCGCCTCTGTTCTAACTGTAGGCATACATATCTCTTGCTACAGGTGTTGCCACATGACTCCAAGGCCAGGCGGTTGTTTGTGACCAGTGGAGGCCTGAAGAAGATCCAGGAGATCAAGGCTGAGCCAGGGTCGGCCCTACACGAGTACATCAACACCATCAACAACTGCTACCCTGAGGAGATTGTCAGGTGAGCAGACCACAACACACACTCAGACTAGGGCCCCATTCTCACTAGGATAAAATTGTCCTGATCAAGTCAAATTGATTTGCTTTGATCTGGCTTCGATCCGGCTTGATCCAGCTTGAAGCAGGATCAAAGCCGGATCACAGCAAATCCATCCGGCTCGATCCGGACAATTTTATCCTAGTGGGAATGTGGCCTAGACTCTAGTGTGACTGCCGATCTTCATTAGTGTTAGGTTTCACATTCTTTTTTATAATGAGGTCTACAGGGGTTTTAGATTCAATTTGGCATTTTGAATATTTTCCACATCTTTGAAATCTTTTAACACGTACACTGATGTAGTTTGATTTGGCTTCCAATGTGAGCGATCACTGTTTTGTTTACATATCAAGTACATGCAAATTATTTGAAGCCATATCCAAATTATTGGTAGGTAAATCACCCAATCGTCACCCACTTTTTGGATACCACTCACTGGCTGTGACGTCATGGCAATCACTTGTATTCTATATTGGTTACAGCAGGGGCAAGGTTAAAGATATCTTTTATGTAACAACATGCATATGCCTACATGGCCTATGTGACAATTTGTTGTAGTGAAACTTTTAGGAGCTATAGATTTTCTTAATCATATTTTGGGTCAATGTTGAATGGCATCACCATAGGATGAACTGAACTGATTGAATAGGTTAGGGTGTATCAGGTACACCTAGGCTGACTCATAACTTTATTATTTTCTGGTGTCGCCTTACATTTTCCCTTGTTGTTACACAGGTACTACTCCCCTGGCTACTCAGACCAGCTGCTACAGAGAGTGGAAGAGTTCCAACCCGTCCAGTGAACACAGCAAATTATCAACAGTTGAAAAACTTTTTTCATGACATTTCTGGTGAAAGTGTCACCAATATTTCAATTTCACATGTTTATCATTAAATCCAATTTATGCCTTACTTGAATATCTCTACATTAACATATGGCTCACTTGCACATTAAAACAGCTCTCATTTGGTGATCACAGAATAAAACACCAGTTGAAAGGGATTGTTATATAATGTAACTTTGTATCTAGCTGTTGCCTTTCTTGTTAATTTGTGTGCCTTATCTAACAAAAGTTCTCATATGGTAGTACAGATGCCCCAAACAACTTTTCAGCCATATTTTAGCATTGTCTTATTACTGAGGTTATACAAATGTACAACTATGTTACAGTTTTTCACATTTTCAACATAGATCAAAGCATTTGATAGATTTATCAAGTGGTCACATTATGTTGTTACAATGAAAAATTACACCAGAATGTTACAATGAATTCTTTGACAGAGTTAATGTTACCACCTTAAGTTTGTATAATACATAGACCTACTATAGAGATACTATGTGTGTATATATTTGAGTGTCTTACTAGTAATTCTACTTTCCAGTATACCATTATTTTGTATCATATTCATTGAGAAAATTCACAAAACTATACATCAAGATTAGCAACTATTTTCAGGTGTTGTAAATAAATACTTGAAACATAACATAATTAAAGAATTCTAACACATTGGAAGCACATGTAACTTTACATACACTGGTTGTAACAAGGAGATTGAAATAAATTTTAACCTCCTTGCTTCATTTGCAGTACAATATTATCTTCAACAAGTGAAAGATAGAACTGTGATAATATTTTATTAAAGTTGGTTATTTTGAAAGAGCAATATTTGTATCTTATCTTCAATTTGTGTGCAACTTGACAAAAGGGACAATTTCTTTCAACTAAGGAATACCTTTGGAACACATCACTATACAGAATTTCCCCTCTGAAATCACATGCCTGAAACTGGGGGATGCCCAAACAGTTCTTCATACTATCTAATACATCACAGAATAGAAGCTGTTCAAATGACCATTAGTTCAAACTTTAGAAAAAAATAGTCTTACCAGTAATTGTGTACTATATTTCCCTTAAAAGATACTTTGGTCTAGTTTGTAAGGCAAAGAAAACAAGGTGTCCAGCTCATTCTTGACCTATATTAAAAAGGATTTTAACCCATTCCTTGATACAACCACTTATGGGCTAGGTTTTCTCTCGATGTCTACTAATTACATTGACTGGCTTACTCAGCTCTTCTTCCACCCACATCTCAAAATCATTGAAAAAAACAAAACAATTTTGGCAAATCACAAAAAAGCCAAATCCCACCTGTCTTTCTGATGGCAAACATGCTCCAGTCCGCTTCCAATTTCTTCCCAGGAAAAGAGATGTTCAGAATGACCAGGAATGCTAACTGTAAACCAAGCTGTTAAACCTATTCTGAACTGCACAACTCATCCGTGGTGTTTGACTGAAGTCTACAAACAGCAGTGACAACAACAGCCATAGAAACAGCACTTGGCTGGAATGTTGTTAGTGTTTCTTCCCCTCAACACTATGGAGGACAGAGCACCCATCACTCCTGCTGTTGCTCTGTAAAACAATCAGTACTTTAATCAGAAGTTTAAGGAGAAGCGGTTGACAATGCCCTCTTCCAAATGATCACAGTAACCCTTAAATTCAGAGTGAATAAAGATTGTACAAAGCACAATCCTAACATTCAATGTAATCAAATCTAAAAAGCATTATTCTATGCTTCGTTCTTTTTCCCTAACCATTCCAGAAACTGCTAATACCAAGTAACTTAAATCCTTGAGTAGCAAGGGCCAAGCAGACCCAAAGAAGCACTTTTGTTGACATTGTTGGCATAGCAACCACTGTTGATATACAATCACCTGTCCACAACTCGAGCCTTACCTGTGGAGAACTCCTGCAGAATTAATGTAGTCAGTGAGCATGGATTCTAGCCTTTGTCCACTGAAAGTCTCAAAGTGTCCAGGGAAGACTGTGTGGATGTCAGGAGCCAGGGCCTGTAGTCTTCTACATGACTGGACGTAGTCTGACACACAGGAGTAGGGCAGCCAGTCAATCAGAGAACCTACATGAGGAACAAGTTCCCAAACAACAGATTTAAATTTCCCTATGATCTATACCACAGTGACTCTGTAAAACAAGTTGCTCTGAAGCTGGCCAGTGGAATTGAAAAGTCTGCATACTAGTATTCTTTTTAGTTGTGTGTGGTTCTGTGTCTGTGTGTGTCAATATGCATAGTTTTCTTTCTTTCTTTATACCAAGGAGGTTTATATAAATCAGGAAACAAACACACTTTGGACAAGCTTTAGACAACCATAGCCTTTTGCAAAGTTGAGGGAAAACTATTTAACACACTCACTCAGATAATGTCCTTGCTCAGAACTATTTAAAGCTCCTTGCTCACAAGAAAAATATACAAATCTCCAAAAGTAAATAATCTTCACAACCCTGACAAGTGTGACATAGAGTTGGCCAAGTCAAATCTTCTTGGCCCTTTTTCTCTCGCTTTTGTCCATTCGAGGATTCAATAGCCTTCATTTGACCCGTAATAGCAAGAATATTACCCCTTCCCAAAGAGATTTGTTTTGAAAACAAATCAAACACCTGTTTGACAAGTTCCCTGGAGACGTCCAAACCAATCACGTGACCTGACGACGTGACAACATAATGACGCATCTTTTCCCCAGAGACCGTTGCTATTTGTCACTGTTTATTGGGCGCGTTCGTAACTAACGATTCGAAACTGACCAATCATAGCGCTGGAAAATGACATCATTTTGTTCTCTCTGCCACTCCTATTTCATCACATGATGCCTACTGGCCAATCACTGTGCTGAATTTATTGATTTGCATATTCCCCAGGCGACAGGGAGAACTGGCGGTATAAATTCCACCGACGACGGTTGGAAGGCACATATTCGTTCACTGAGACTCCTCAACAGTCGGAAGTGACCGTTATTCCAAGCCTTCAACGCAATTTCTGTGTGAAATCCTCGCCAAACTAACAAGAACCAATCATGGTAAGTCTACTGTCATACTTTTGTGAAATTTTTAGCGAGATTTGTCCGCACGCTTAGCCGTAATCTGAACATTTTAACCCGTCCCTCAAAGAGACGTAAAAATCAGAGACGTGGTTCCGAAGATTCTTTTCTTCGCTGAAATTTTACGATCACACATCGACGATTGAAGCTAAAACATCCTTTTCCCGTAAATTTTGAGGTTAAATTTGTGCCAGACAACCTGCTAAGGACTGCGATCGGGAAGGGAGGCACGGTCACCACGCCGGCCACACCTTGATAAAATTTACAGATTTTCCGTCATGGCGGAGTTCGATCCTCATGTTTCCCTCTCTCCTTTCCAGCGTGAGTGCATCTCTATCCACGTCGGCCAGGCTGGTGTCCAGATCGGTAACGCCTGCTGGGAGCTGTACTGCTTGGAGCACGGGATCCAGCCTGATGGCCAGATGCCGAGCGACAAGACCATCGGCGGTGGGGACGACTCCTTCAACACGTTCTTCAGCGAGACCGGCGCCGGCAAGCACGTGCCCCGTGCCGTCTTCGTGGATCTGGAGCCCACTGTAGTCGGTAAGAAATTATATTCCCCCGATTTCAAACGATTTTCTGATGAAATACAAGTAATTTACCACGATTTCAGTCAGATTTCTATCGGCTGTGAAAAAAATTAACGGTCAAAAAATGGCGGTTTCCTGCTAATTTTCCACGTCACTGTCTCGCGATTCAAACCACGTCGTGCTGAGGGCGGGCCGCCCGTCATGTAAATTTGCTTTTCGGGGGCTCTCCAAATTCCACCGCACTCAAATAACTGAATAATATTGCTGTGTTCGCTACTAATATAATAATTTCTACAGGAACGACGATTCATGTTGGAGAATAAAAGAAAATTTCGAAATTTTGTGAGTCATGCCCCAGCTAGGGAAATGATGTCATGTCCTTTGCCCAAATATGGTCATGTGGCGGGAGATAATTGATATAATTCAACCGAGCCGATCTCTCATTTTGAGTTTAGAACGCAAATTTTCTGGTAGTCCTAAGTGACTAGTAAATTAACTCGGCAAACAAATGGCCCAATCTCATTTACATGAGATTATAGATGATGTGTCAGGGGGCCTGACTCATCCATTGGTTTCCTTTGAGGCATGAGCAGATGGGGCATTAAATTGCATCATGTTCAATACAGGCATCCTGCAACGAGAGTCTATGATAGGGGTACCTGATACTCAGTGGCTTGGGTTGGTATATTAGATACCACATACCCATTACCCTCTCTATGACCTTTTTTTTTCCTGGCACATCATTAGTCATCTTTTTTTTAGGACATTATTTAACATTAGTCATATGAATATATCTCAGTTGGATATGGTTGAAAATTTTCAATTTGTTCTGTTACATAGGCACAAGTGATGTGCTCACTTTGTTTAATTCTGGTCATGACCTCTCTACTAGACATATGTTAATATTTCTGCTTGGCATGTTGATAAGATTTTTTTTTCTCCTCTTCAGTTAATTGGTGGCTGCCGCTTGCATACCAATGAGTTTGTCCATACTTAATGTAATTGCTTTCTATTCCCCAGATGAGGTCCGTACTGGCACATACCGCCAGCTGTTCCACCCCGAGCAGCTCATCACTGGTAAGGAGGATGCCGCCAACAACTACGCCCGCGGCCACTACACCATCGGTAAGGAGATCGTCGACTTGGTCCTGGACCGCATCCGTAAGCTGGCTGACCAGTGCACCGGTCTGCAGGGCTTCCTCATCTTCCACTCCTTCGGCGGTGGCACCGGCTCTGGCTTCACCTCCCTGTTGATGGAGCGTCTGTCCGTCGACTACGGCAAGAAGTCCAAGCTGGAGTTCGCCATCTACCCAGCCCCCCAGGTGTCCACTGCCGTGGTGGAGCCCTACAACTCCATCCTGACCACCCATACCACCCTGGAGCACTCCGACTGCGCCTTCATGGTCGACAACGAGGCTATCTACGACATCTGCCGCCGTAACCTGGACATCGAGCGCCCGACCTACACCAACCTCAACCGTCTGATTGGCCAGATCGTCTCCTCCATCACCGCATCCCTCCGCTTCGACGGTGCCCTGAACGTGGATCTCACTGAGTTCCAGACCAACTTGGTGCCCTACCCACGTATCCACTTCCCCCTGGCCACCTACGCCCCAGTCATCTCCGCAGAGAAGGCCTACCACGAGCAGCTGTCCGTTGCTGAGATCACCAACGCCTGCTTCGAGCCAGCCAACCAGATGGTGAAGTGCGATCCCCGTCACGGCAAGTACATGGCCTGCTGCATGCTGTACCGTGGAGATGTTGTGCCAAAGGACGTCAACGCCGCCATCGCCACCATCAAGACCAAGCGTACCATCCAGTTCGTCGACTGGTGCCCCACTGGTTTCAAGGTCGGCATCAACTACCAGCCACCCACCGTGGTGCCCGGCGGTGACCTGGCCAAGGTGCAGCGTGCCGTGTGCATGTTGAGCAACACCACCGCCATCGCTGAGGCCTGGGCCCGTCTTGACCACAAGTTCGATCTGATGTACGCCAAGCGTGCCTTCGTGCACTGGTACGTCGGTGAGGGTATGGAGGAGGGAGAGTTCTCCGAGGCCCGTGAAGATTTGGCCGCCCTGGAGAAGGATTACGAGGAGGTCGGCGTCGACTCCGTGGAAGGCGAGGGCGAGGAGGAGGGAGAGGAGTATTAAACACCTCAACCCCCAGAGAACTGGCAAAACCACACTCGCATACACAAGAAACATGCGTGATGTTGCTTTTGTTGAAGTAAAGAAAGAATGTTAAAAGTAAAAAAAAGGTTAAAAGTTGAGAATGTTGTAAACACTCAGTTGAGTGTTTTTATGGAGAGGAATAAAAAGGATGAAATGTACTTCTTCTTTGTTGAGAACTTTTTCTATTTCACTGTAGTGAGAGAAGTGGATTATGAACACTGGTGATATAGCCTTGCCAGTGTAGCCTAGCAAGAGATTAGTTTGTTGTTTCAACTTTCAGGTAGTGAGATTAGCAGAATCATGAACACTGGTCATATGGCCCTGTCCAGTGTAGCTTAGCAAGAACATAACAGTATAAAATTGGCATTGCCTACTTAGCCCTTCTAAAGTGGATGGTGGCAGGAAGTTTGAAGCTCCTGGCAGGGACAGATTGCAACACATGCTAGGCTTTATTTGATTAATCCCAAAGTTCTCAGTACAGAGTACACATAACCTTCCTCTGCTCCAATAGCCTGGGTGCCATCCTACACATATACCAGGGCTTTCATATATTTTTGGGGAGAAAGTATGGGAGCCCCAGTATCCAAATAGGATGCCACCCAGGCTATTGCTCCATGAGTTGTGGAATAAAACCTGACAACAAATCAAAGTGACATGACAGTATTGAGAATATTCTGACCCCTGTGCCTTGCTTGACTGGTTAACCGTCCCACTTACCCATGTAGGCCGTATCTCCGCTGAACAGTTGTCTGTTGACCTGGTCATGGAGGACAATAGAGCCACGTGAGTGCCCAGGTACATGTAACACCTGTAGCCTCCTGTCTCCCAGGTCAATGACATCACCTTCCTCAAGTGTCCGAGTTACCTGAACAACAGACCAAAATTTCATCTGTTTGAAGACATTTGGTGTAACTTAGCAGAGGGGCTATCTTCCATCAATATGGAAGGTACTCATAGAATATAGCCGAGAAAACTGAAAAAAGTCTGCATAATTGAACCTTCCTGTCATACCAAGTACATAACATTTACCAGTGCTTTTAAGTTTTAGCACAATTTTATAACAGGCAATGCAAAAACAACCCACACACTATCGTCCCCTATTTATGGTACCAAGAAAGACAAACTAGCAGAGAGTAAACAAGCAATTTTTCTACACCTGCAACACAATGACAAATGCGATATGGTTTGATAAACTTACCAGAGAATCACTATCGTAACATTACCCCCGTCTTGAATGACAAGGAATGGCCATGACTACATTTTGTACTTGTAAAAGCATCATCATTGTAAGTGCTGAGGAATACCTTAGAAGCTCTGACTCTGTAGTTGCTTGCTTTCCATTTCCTGGTGGGAGGTGGGACAATCTCAGAGTCAGATAAGAACGTCACAGTCTCAAAGTTGTCGCCCTTTTCTAAGGCTTCAACCTCATTCTTGTGGATGGCAACTTCTGGAAACTGATACAGACCTGAGGAAAAACTGGTACAGTCTCAATGTTCAGCTAGGTGTTTGTTTCTGTTTTACTTACCCAGGTTGACCCATCTCAGTGTCATAGTACTGCTTTATTGAGGAGCCCTCGAAAACATATATTACATGCAACATGTATGCATACGTAACAACTTGAACTATATAAAAGTACAGAAACTATTGTTCCACCATTGTGCGAGGAAAAAAATTCCACCAAAAGTCACCATTTCTTGCATGTGTGCTGGCTTTGGACAAGGCTTGACCTTTTCATCATCATAGACATCTATTGTTGCAAATCAGAAAAAAATGACCAAGGCAAATCAAAGAACCAAGAAATTAACTTCTGTATCTGTACAACCGGTATGACCACCCATTGGCATAACATACCAGCTTTACAGGCACGCAGCACGGCGGCAGCTAGCTACATTACACTGAACAACTTGATACACCTAGCCTTTGAACATCTAACTGTAGACTAAACCATGAAAGCTCCTTGGTGATGAAAGCTCCTTGACTAAACATTCAATGATTGTTTAAAGCAAGGAGCTTTCATCACGATGAAAGCTCCTTGTTTAAAGCTATCTAATGATAATTTCCCTAATGTACTTGGTGACAGCAAGTTCCACTCTGCCATACATGTAGTTCATGGGAATTCCAATGAGTTTCTGAACACCTCAATCCTTGGTTGATAACTCTGGTACTTGAAGGCATGACTAGTTTTTGTTCTTTTCTGAGTTGGTATGCGGCCAAACCAATTAAGTCCTCACCCCCTGAGTGGTCAAAGTGGACGTGAGTGGCCACTGCCAGGGTGGGTTTGTTCCCAATCAGCTCCTGGTCCTCCAGGAACCCCCGCAGGTTCTGTATACCCAGCCCTGTATCCACGACGACGTCCTGTTCTGTCCCCTGCACCACCCAGATGTTGGCCTGGTTACCGGAATGGTAGAACCTCTCACGGACCAGGTGTACTCCCTCTGCTACCTGACAGATGAGGAGAAATATTAACCAAGATTTGAACCTTGCATGTTATGTAAAAGGAGATTGAAACCTATCTTGTGAACAGTTCTTGCCTAGACCAAGGATACAAGCTAACAGTTTTGATTTCTCATTTATTAAGTTAGACCTAAAAACAACAAAAATGGGCCAGAGATAAAATGATCACCTGACTTGCAGAAAACCACTGGTCTGCCATTGCCATGGTAACCCGGTCCTCTGGTCAGCTCTCTGGAACTCTGGGAAGGAGAGGACTCTTCAGCGCTCAGAAATCATTAGGCTGTCCACTTCTTTTCTTCTCTTTCAAAATTCAAGATAAAAAATACTTCTAGATTGTTTCCGTCTGTATCAGCATGAGAACACACAACTACACATAACGCCATTGATGTTGTGGTGGTTATTTCTTACCTATCGAATGTTGCACATCATAGAATTGTGATAAAGTTGTTTGCAATATTGTGAATAGGGATGCTCTTTCTTCTGAGCAAAATAAAAATAAGGAGAGTTTCTACACTGAAACAAATCATATGAGTATTCTTACCTTGATCACCGAGTATCCAGATGCTGCATTATGTCGCTATGGGCACGGAAATATTAACTATTCGCGGGTGTCGCAGATAATGTGACAAAACAGGGTCTAGATTTGTGTTTATCTTTGCAGTGCCAGGGGCCAGTGTCGTCTGCAACCCGGAAGTATGTTTTCTGACACGTTTTGCGGCAAGTAAACCACCAAAGACTGTGCAATTATAACGTTATATCGTCTTATTCTACAATGTACAATTTCCTGTAGCCTTCTAGAATTATTGTTACGTAATAAAAGGCGGCCCACGTCTTTTATATACATTTGTTGTGGAATAAAGTAATTATTACGACAGTGACGTAACAGCGAGCAAGGGTCACAATATTAGGTTCAAAGTTCAGGGATCATGTGATGTTAGTTGAAAAACGGACACTGCTGAAACCAGAACTTCGACTTCTGTTTCGTTTCCGCCACTCTTCCCTCATTTTAGTCTTAATTTGCTAGATTTCCCTTATTCAGAGACGACATGAGGAAGTATCTACCGCCTTTGGCTGTGTTTTTCGTTTCTTTGCTTATGTATGCTGAACAAAAACAAGGCACAAACGTCGCTGGGTCCAAAGTTAAAGATGACCACTTCGATTTTATGGTGTTCACCCAACAGTGGCCGGAGACTTTCCGGCTGCAGACTGGACCAGAGGTTCAGATCCCCAAGAATGTCACAGGATGGACAATCCACGGTGTCTGGCCTTCACAGGTGGGGTGGCATAGAGAATGAAATGAATGAAATATATTATAAACGGCCGTTAATTAACTGTTACATGTTATTGCTGACGTTACTTTTAGATTGAATTGATTTGAATTTTGATATAAGGAAATGGTTTATAAAGGACATTATTATATTATGCCTTCTTTTTTTAAGATATTAGACAAATCATTGGGTCAGGAGCATATGATCATGGGGTTATAAAAGGGGGCCCCCAAGCCCTTTTCCGTAGAGCGTAATCGGCCGTTTTAATTCTACGTAGAGCGTAGACGGACCCTCTAATTCAACGTAGAGCGTAATTGGCGCATTTGGCGTAGAGCGTAATTCGCCGTTTTAATTCTACGTAATGCGTTGTAGCTATCGGGAATTAACCGTAAAGCGTAATCGATTAATTGTGCGTAGAGCGTAATCCAAGCTGCAAACGGGAACTCAAGGCCTCGCAAGTGCCGGGTTGTCGCGGCGCTCGAGGTCTTTCTTGCTCTACCCCCTTCTATACAATCGAACAATCCACTAGACTTGTTCCCAGAGCCATACGCAAGAACAAGGCAACACATGGGTCACAGTGCGCTGGGTACGAGATTGACCTTACCATCGGTGACGTACAGGAGGACCATTGGCCAAACGCCACAGATGGCCACAGATGAAGAGGGTAGAAGGCCTTAGAACCACATGACTTGTAAGGCCCAATAGGGGCCCGCAAGACGTTTCTTAGCGGGAACATCATTGCTGATCAACGGCCAGGGTAATGGAGGACACTCCCGAAAAGAGCAATGTCATCCCCGTCATTGTGCGGGTGATGGGTAACGCGGGACCGTCAGCAATCGGCAGCTGAGTCGTTTTGACAAATTACGCTGTATTGTTTGCAGCCTGCTTTTCTACCGGACGACAACCCCAAAAGGCTCAAAGGTCCACTTTTTATCTAAAGGTCCAAGATTTTTCTTTTTAAAAGACGGACTGATTCGTGTCACCAGCAAGGCTGTAATCCGTCGTAGGAAAACGGCTCACTTTGTCATTGAAAAAGTTATCTCTGATTTTTTTCTTTGAAACCCTCTATTATATAAAAACGCAGGAAAAGCCATTTCAGAAGGTTCATTTTTCAAAATTTCCCGGGGGAGCATGCCCCCGGACCCCCCTAGGAACCTCGCGCCTTCGGCGCTCGCCTCGCGCCTTCGGCGCTGGTTGGTCCCCCCTTCAAAATCCTGGCTACGGCCATGTTACCTCCATTCACGGATCGCCCTCCGATCTTCGGGCGATCGACTCGCGGTCAAGTTGGTACCTGCGGTAATACTGAATACCCCGTTTTGTATTCTATACTTTCAATGTATAAGGAAGTGACCGCCGGTTAGCATTACTACTTTTAATTCAAGTTATATCACCTCTACATGTGATAAATCAAAAGGTTTTCACGCAAACATGCAGTCGCTAGGGGACTGAGTTCTGCATAGTGCGTTGGGAATCTTTCGAATTTAGCGTAGAGCGTAGAGAGGCTTTCTGAATTCAGCGTAATACGTAGCCGGCTCTCAAAATTTAGCGTAGAGCGTTGTCGGGACCCCCCCTGGGGGCCCCCATAAAAGAGATCAACTGATATACTTAATGCAAATGAGGATCTTATTTGTGTAATCAATACTATAATTCCTGATTTTTTTCACTGTGGATGTTCACTGTTTTCACTGTCACTTCTGTACAGTGAACTTATCAATACAGTTAACAAATAATTCCTGGACTTTCTTTTTCCTGCACCTGTCACCACAGTGAACATATAGTTCCGTGAAATTTTGCTAACGTGAACATAAAGTGAATTACAATATGTGAAATATTTCTAATTCATCAGTTGTGCAGGAATGCTTAATGATTAACAGTATTTTATTACATATCAACTAGAATACGTCTACTATGGTCACATATCAATGACTACGGCTGAAGGGACTACCCATTTGTTTGTAAGATTGATACATAAATAAATAAATAAAATCTATGTTGTCTGGTTTACAGATGAAGAAAGAGGCTCCCAACTTCTGTAACAGCTCGTGGCACTTCAACCAAAGCCTGATCGAAGACCTGAGGCCACAGATGAGTCTCTACTGGCCCAACTTGATAAAGACTAACAACCTGTGGGACCACGAGTGGACCAAACACGGCACGTGTGGAGCCTCGCTGCCTGCTATACACGGGGAACACAACTACTTTGCTGAGGGACTCAGGCTCAATGCAAAGTACAACATCACAGAGATGCTAGCCAGCAATCACATCGTGCCAAATGCAGAAAAGGCATATTCTTACAAGTAGGTCTTTAGGCTTTATCTATTGGAGGAGGGCCTGCATGCCCATTTCATAAGGCCTAATCAGGCTTTTTTAGTCTTTGTACTCCCAAGGAGGTTAAAAAAACCCTTTTTTAAACCTCCTTGGTAATCCATAGGTAGCCACCCAAAATCATCGTAACCATACGATTACCATCTTTCTTGGTTATATATTTGAAACTTAAATGAATTTACACTGACACGTTTCCAGGATACTAGCCCTATAAACTAAAACTAGCCCCCTTTCTAATGTTGAATGTAATTGGCTAAGAAAAATGTTCATACTCCACACTTGTTATACCTCAGTGATGTCGAGGGAGCCATCAGGAAGAATGTGAACAACATGTCGTTCGTTATGCAGTGTTACTGGGACAAAGAGGCACACAAACAATACATCTCCCAGGTAATGATTCATTTATCCTCCTGTGTGTACAACAGATAGGTCTGTAAACAGGTTCATCAGGTTTTGGGGGAATCATTTGATTTCTTATCATTAGCTATAGGGCTGTGCTTCTACTAGTAGGGCTGTGAGTGAATCTACAAAGACGCATGTTCAGGCACTACGAATTTGAGTACAGTCCTTAAACACATACACAGTGTTCTCACAATGTTCCAGCAAATTGTCAGACATTCATGTACATGTACAAATGTACATCATTACCCTGATGTAGGCATCTGATGGATTGCCCAAAACATTGGCAGCCAGGAAAAATTTGCTTGCATGGAAGAAACATTACCATACCTTGAGACCTTTACAGATCATCCTTGTTTTTCCTGTTGCAAAATTTGGTTGAGGTGAAATCTGTCATTATACAATTATAAAAAATGATCAATACACAATGCCCAAGAGGTTTCAATGGCCTGGATAACAGAAATATCACATCTTCCCCCAGGTGATGCTGTGCTTGGACAAACAGTTTGGCCTGCTGGAGTGTGACAAGTATTTGAGTGAGGGTGACTTGTGTTGGACCACTGAGACTATCCAGTACCCACCCTTCCAATTTTCCTTCAACTAAGGCTGCACAATCTTCATTTTATGATTGGCATGTTCAGGAAACTGCTAGCATCAGTTAGTTGGGAATATATTTTGAAAGTAATTTGGCCCTGAAACCACGCAAATCATTGACAATCAATATACTGATCCCATAGCTATGCCCACCTGTTAAAATGTACGAATGCATATATTTGACAGACTCTCTCATTGGTTGAACCACTAATTGCCATGTTATCATTGGTTATTGTTAAACTGCTAATTGTAATGGACAGTCAGGATAAAACATTTTAGGATCAGCGTAGTCAAGGTGGTTACATTAGTCAACAGGTTTCCATTCATATATTGCCAAGTAGAAATAAGTAAGTGAACATTTTTTTAACTTACAATCTTGTTCAAATACAATCACCTATCTGTACCTCAGTGAATTACAGTGAAACCTGCACTTAGTGACCATCTCTACACAATGTCCACTTAGCCATCACTTTTTGGCAGGCCTTTGGGCAATTTTTCCTCTGACTTAAGCATTAGAAATCTTGGTACACTGTCTGCCATAATAGTGTTTTGAGTGGTCATGAAAGACAGGTTTCACTGTAGTCATAACATGGTTAATAGATTCTATGCAATCAGAGTATGATTTTAAACATCCATGTGCCATAATTTCCATAACAGTGTTGTGCAAGACTGTAAACATTTATCGTACAAGGAAATCAAAGTCTATTCTTTTCTTGCAGTTGAATCAAGAGTCGCTTTAAGTTATTGGCATTGGAATGTGCTGGTTACTTGAGGCTTGGATTCAAAGAAGGTCAAAGTATTGACACATTTTCTTGGACGTAAAAGCTGAAAAATTATGCTAGCATGCTGTCAATTCCAGCAAAATTTATTTTGTATGTTCCTTGTGTTCCAATATTCTTACAGACATGTAATTCAGGGTGGTAATGTTATCAAAGATTTCTCATCTTCATAAAACAGTGAATGACTCGTAGTCACAGAGACCACAAATAATTTATATGAATTATACATAGATTAATATTAAAGAAGTGTGAAACATTTGTTTGAAAATCAATTAAGGTGGCCTTTTTGTGTTGGTATGTTTAAATGGTTGCAGAACTGTAACAAAAAGTTCATGTCCTTTTTTTACATTTATATGCCGGGTATTAAGGCTCACTGTTGCAATAAAGTTAATTCTTATTCCATGGAAACTTTGTATTCTCTTGTGAATCTTTTTTTTTTTGGTAGGGGGGTAGGTTTTTTTTCATTATATTTTATTCATAAAATATTATTCATATAAACATAAAATGAAACCATCCAACCATAAAATGATAATAGATTAATTATGTATATAGAAATCCCCATGTCCCTCTGTGTTTTTAGCTATTTTCAATCTTCCCTTTCCTTGTTGAAATGAGTCGTTCTGCTTTTTCAAAGAAAATTATATATTTGATACATGATTCCAAACTAAGTCTTTTAATGTGAATCTTTTATACATGATATTGTACACAATAATCCATCCACAAATAGAAAAAGACACCTTTTTTGAGACTGAGTAAAAATACCCCTTTTATTCACATAATACATAATTATATACATACTGCACAAAAATAAATACCCAGTATGTATTCAATAGCCTGTGTTTTATCTCAATGTGGCAAGTTTATGACTATCGGTATAGGGTTCCCATAAAAGTCAAAAACATATTGCACCCAGTGTACATGTATGTGGCAACTCCCAAACACGTTTTCAGTTGAAGGGAACACTTATATCAAATCCTGGTTTGTCAATATCCAACCCCTTGTTTCAGAATAAATAAATATGCATATAGAAATTCATGGAATAGCTACAAGCTATGAAAACGGTGAGATTGAGATAATAAAAATGTGGTACATTGCACACAAGTGCTGGTAATATACAGTTTGCTTTTACATGTAGTATCAGCACAACTACTTGTGGAATTTACGGATAAAAAAAAGGATATGGCTGGCAAGCATTTCACCCACTCTTCACAGCATGTCAGCAGAACGTACAGCACCTGCGTGAAACCCGTAATGTATTGTACATAGCACTTCGGTAGACCATCGCATATAAGGTCATATTTGTGTATATAAGGTTAAACATCCTGACTGTAGTTTCCAAATGTTGTGTTGAAAAAGATATCGTCTGCAACAGGCAAAATTCTGATGCAACGCTGACCAAACATCCAATGAAAAATCACGGTTTTGCGCAGGCGCAGTACGTTCTGCTGACAAGCTACTCTTCACCAATAATGCTACAGTAGTAATAGCTCCTCCCACCCTTAAGATAATCACATTACCTACAGCCCCCTTGTCATCTTAATGTTCGATGGAATAACCCTTAAAAACTAGTACCATAATTTTAATAGGTTGGAACATAAAGCAACTATTCAAAAGGTGTACAAAACAAAATAATGTAGTAGGCTTCTGTAGTTTTGCTTTCTCATCTTGCACATTATACACAGTCTAGTCTTCATTCAAAATTGTAGTACTTTTGACTGTTACATGATTGTGAACCATGATGCTTTTTAACCTGCAGTATGCTAGCATCCTATTCAATCCTACATGTATGTAATGAATACAAAGTCTATGATGTACAACAATTGCACCTGTAGAGTGCTAGGGGTTAAAAATACTGAAGTTTGCTTCTCTGGAAAGTGGAAAACTGTACGGTATCTTCCACAAATTGCACTGCAGAATATCACTTAGAGATACATTTGTTACTAGATCCATGATTTCCAACGTTACAATAATAATACCCTTTTAAGCTGGCATCAAATACATGTATATACATTGTTCTCATATCTAAAACCTTGGGGATATTCCACATAAAAAACATAGGGCAAGAACAATTAAAATGGGTGTAGGACTTCTAACTATTTAATATTTAAGAAAAAAAAACTATCAAAACATATATGAGTCAGGGGATACTAGAATCATCAAAGTGTCCTGTCCCCCACTTGTGTCATGGAACAGCCCTAAATTCCTATACAACAACATCACAAAGACTTACAATAGACTATGACACAGCTATCAGTGGCCTTTCTATCTATACACCCTAACTGCTATAGTGGACATATATGTGATAATAGTAGGGACAGTTCATTAACAACTACATTAAATGTGGGGTGGATGTTGTCAGTGGAATAATGGCAAGCTGTCATGTCCCACACATCCAGGTACGTTACCTGTAAGAAATGAAAACAGTAACAGTTGAGTAAGTTATCCTGCTCAAAAACACACACAAAACATACAGATACGTAGTTGTTGTTCAAAAGGAAACTGCTACATGTATGATGCTAAAACATTTTTTTATCTCTTCTTCATAAAGCAAAGCCTTACACTGTATCTGCAAACCATTTTTGTTTTAATTTCTTGTTCACAAAAAGAGAGAATACCATGGGGTCTATAATTACATTTGATCTAAACAAACAAAAAAACAAAAACAAGTAAAGATATGATGTCCACAACACCACCACTGGTTAAAACATACTGTAAACTTGGAAATGTTCACAGTGGTTTTCTTTTTGTGGTTTTCTCAATGACCTCTTCCCCATAAAATCATCACAACAGTAATTATAATACCGGTATGTCTTACCATTGTATCACTACATACAGTTCTACAGAATTCTTTCAACCAAGAATTTAAGACACTGCAGAAGTCTATTTTCCATTCCTACCTCTACATCAAATTCTTGCAAAAATAAAGGAATTTACAATTATATACAAGTTGCTAGGGGGACCAAACTAATGTCACATCTTCCCGAGCACAAGAGCTATCTGGTATCTACCACCAAAAATTTGTGACTCTACATGTTGTAGCGTGCCCAGATCCCGAGATATCAAAACCGGAAGTTCTGCTGCAGTATCAACACAAGCCGCCAGGGGTCCCAAAATCTAATCATTTCTAGGTCTCATCAAGACCTGCCCACCTACCAACTTTCATGACAATGCATAGAAAGCTTCTTGAGTTATGCTGTTCACAGACAGACAAACAAACAAATGCTACTGAAAACATAACCTTCTTGGCAAAGGTAATAGCATTCTAATGGTTGCTCCCACCTCCTCTCCACTGAAGACTTCCCTCAGGATGTTGTTCAGCTCGTGTGCGAACCAGTTGCTGGTCTGTAACAGCATGGACAGGTTCTTGTGTTCCCGCGTGTTCACGCTCTTTAGGATGACTTTTGAGCCCGGATGTCTCTCGTGTAGCCGCCTGATGGCCGCTCGTATCGCTTTTAATCTGGTGATGTACGTTTCTATTGTTTCCTGAGGGGATAGTGCAGAGTGCATTTTACATACATGTATAAGAACTATAGAAAAACTTTAAAGCGATATTATGTAAGATTTTCATCATTGTTTTACACCTTTTATTGCACTATAATAATATAATCATGATGTCATTAGGGGAGTAAAAGATCAACATCATTGTTGATCATCATTGTTTCCGCTGCCAAAGTCTGTTGTTACAGACGATATCTTTTCCAACACAACATTAGTTAACTACAGAATGGAGTGTTAACCTTATATGTGCGAATACTACGTTCTGCCAACGTGCTCAGTACTGACCTGAGTGAAATGTGAGACAGCACTGATGAGGACGACACACCCAGGCCCACACTTCAGGTCATCCAGACTCCTGACTATACTCTTCACATCCCTCACAAGGACTCCGTGAGACCCTGCAATTACACATACACGTACAACAATTTTCTACATACTCATGTAAAATACATGTACATGTATATACAAAAGCTTAGATTCTTCACAGAGTTTTTAAAAGAAAACATATAGTGCAAAAACAGATCACTGTGTGCCATGTCACCGATCTTGTGTCCTTGGGAAAGACACTTTACATGACTTTCCTCACTTGACTCAGGTAAAAAATCTTCATTTAGGGACGTCCCTCGGATAAGACGTTAAATGGAGGTCCCATGTTTGAGGTCAGCCAAACCTCAGGCATGTTAAAGAACCCGCCACACTTAACGAAAAGAGTAGGGGTCTTTCCTGATGTGAGTGGATAAAATCATTCTAGCTTAAAATGGGGTAGGGAATCTCCCAAGCACCTTCTGCTTCTCCTAGTGGTTCAGTTAGTCCTGACACTCCTAAGAGAATTTGAGCTAGTCTCAATTATGATATTTCTGACTTAGGGAGAAGAGATACTGTTAGTTTTTTTATATCAGAAATATCATAATTACAGAAATATAATAATTACAGTCTTCATGTAACCCGTAACCCACTAGGATTGGCCTTCAGGCCTCGTTATGTGTAAGAAAAAACCCTATCTACATACCATGTATGGGGAAACTGTGGAACCTCCAGTACATGTGGAAGTTGTGGGACTTGTCCACAGCCATGCGTGGACCAAGCCTCTCGTCTGCAGAGCTGAACTGTTCATACATGTTACTGCCAAATATCTGCAAGGAAAAAAATCCACGTAGTTTATCAAAGGATGATCCAAACTGGATTTGGAGAAGGAGGAAAGGAAGTTTATATCAAATTTGACACTGTTATTCTGTAGAATATTTAACACATGTAAAGAAAAGATTATATTTTAATCCTTTAAACAATATTTCTCTAGAACCCTTATATTGGATTTAAAGGAAAACACATCAAAATGCAAAAGGAAGGTACTGTAGCCTAAAATACTCTGCAAATGCCCCTTGTGAAATGAATGTATACTTAATTGCAGTGTATCAAGTAACTATAAAGGCAAGCAGGTGCAAGTATGGAAGTTGGAACAAGTGCTGTCAGCAATGCTCATAGGTAATTCAAACTGGATACAAGATAAATCACATATATTACTTCTGGACATTTTGAGTGACATCTAATACTCTTCTTCAGCTTCACTAATTTGACTTAACTGTCACATGCCTTTCTCATGTTCAACTGTTTTTCCAGTTGCTCATATATAAGTATTGACTAGTTCTGTTAGTTCATTACTAACATTTAAAAAGAGTGATGGATGTCACTCAAAATGTCAGGAAGTAATCTCCGTAATTTATCCAGTTGTAGAGTTTGAGTTAGCTATGAGTATTGTTTACCTGGATGTCTAACCTTCATCAACATAGATGTCAACAATATATTGGTCACGCCAAGGACATTATACATATCTGTATAATGTCCTTGGTCACGCGAAAAACACTGAAGAAGTTACTTACACTTTTGAGGGTGGTAAAATACTGTCTCGAGGTAGAATCTCCATACATGTACAGCATTTTGTTGGCCAGACATCTTGTGAAGTTAGAGAGATAGACATTGGGCTTGGCACGACACTCGCTGGAGTACCACACATCATGCATGTAGTACCCCTGAGAGATGGGAGAGGGCGCTGCATGGGACAAGGTTCCACCACAGGGAGGTAGTTGAGGGAGAAGTTTTTGTCTTGGATGTGACCCATCTGTAAGAAAATCATTATTAAAAATTTGTCATTTCCTGACATTTCTGAACCACCAAATTAACTTGATTCAGTGTGCTATAAATAATTATAAAGATTAGCTGCAAGCTAAAATGGTCGTACTTACAGTTCTTTGCAACATTGATGTAGGTTGTTGAGCCCTCCAGTGCAAAGTTGTAATTTGGCCTAAAAGAAAGGTTCAGTTAATGGTAGCAGTTTCATAAAAAAAACAGAAAGAGAAAATATTCAAGGCAATATGAAATAATTGTGCACATGGTTTAACATCTATCTCCTTGAATGCACATAAAACAGACCTCACTTTGAGATTTGAATTGATACAATGTGAGCTGATATTGTTACCAAGTTTGCTTTTTGTTTATGAAGTAAGTTGTTAAGATATATGCATACATGTATGTGGGCACTCTATACTAAAAGTTTGTGCTTTAGTTTTTTATTTTTTTACTCTTTAATGTCAAGAGGTATGTATTATATGTACTACGATAAGAATTACAGGTGGACCAATGCCCTCTGCAATAGCAACATGGTATCACTATCATGGTACTTTTCAAAGTCATCAAACCCTTACCAGAAGAAGAGCTCATACTCCTCTGGTGCCAGCAGACTCTCTACGAGAGAGTTGGTTTTGGTGTTGTCACAGCCAAAGAACACGAAGGTGTCACAAGGCAGGGACGCAGGCTTCCTACACCACCATGTCACACCAGAGTAGTCGTCTGAGAAATTGCACCACGAGTCCTTCTCCACTGTCAGAAAATAAATATTAAAGAAGTTTGAAATAAGACGCCAAGATATCACAGAGTTCAGTACCACTAACTGCTTGAAAAATTGTTACAATGTTTACAAGATAACTTTGGCCATTGTTGATGTCACACTTAAGAGAAGTCTCTAGGTGAGAACATTTCTTTGTTTTGGAACAAAAGGTTTAACTTTAAACATACTTGAAAAAGCTCTAGGTGAGAACATTTCTTTGTGTTGGAAGAAAAGTTTTATCTTTTGACATACTTGAAAAAGCGTTTAATGCTTCATCTCAGTTGTAGATGACTACTAATATTTACCGTTAACTTTCGAAAGATTTGCAAGAAAATGTGATTATCACAATTTTGAGGTCTGAGGTATTTGGAAGCCATTCTCGACACTACTCTAACATGATAAAACATGCCACAATAGTCGAGAATCTATCAAAGACATTATATGAGCTTATGTGTGTTAAGATGTGCAAGCAAAGGTACTACATGTAAGATAATATAATATTTCATTACAAGATTCTGACACACTTATTTTGCAAACGAAAAGAAAAGTCTTCATCATACGGCACTGACCATTTGCCGGGTAGGGATGTGAAAAGCACTCGGAATCCTCCTGCATTCCGTACTCATAGTCTTCAAACTGCGCATAGAATATTCTCTTCACGGGCACCTCCCGTATTCTGCGAAGGACGGCTATGGCTTCACTTGAATGTTCTAGAATTATGGAAATCTGCACCTGGAGAAGGCAGACAAGAAAGACATTGTGTCCAAAAGTCCAAATGTAGTCCATTGAGTCCAAAAGTCATACATCAACCTTTCTGTTGGCAAATGCTTAATTGAAGTGCAGTACACATACTGTAATTCACTTTATGTTCACAGTAGCAAAAGTTTATGGAACTATATGTTCACAGTGGCAGGTGCAGAAGAAAGAAAGTTGGCAAATTATTCGTTAACGGCAATGATAGGTTTTCGGTTACGCCAAAGTGACTGTGAAAAACGCGAACATAAAGTACCGCAAATAAGGAATTACAGTTAATAAAAGGCTATCCAGCAGGATAAGGCTAATGTTTTGAGGTTATCATCACTTTTAGACAATAGAATCACAAGAAAAATATAAAATCTTACTGACCTTCCCACTCCACCATAGTGGAAATTCCACAGTATAGCTGCCATTCCCATGATCCTGCACCCTCCCACTGGTGCTGGATTTTTTCTCAGGGGTGTGAACCTTGGTCCTGAAGGAGTCTCCTCCATATGGCTTGGGGCGCCCCCTGTAGTCTCTGGCCTGTATTGCAACCTGTAAGATTTCACCCATCTGAGGAAATATAACATCATGATTATCATTACAAACAATTCTGCTGTGATCATCAAAATACTAACTGTACTAAAGGTTTAACTGAAGATTTCATACTTCCAAAGCAGCAAAATTGTGTTATACAGTAACTATTCTTTAATTTTTGATTAATAAAAATCCTTCTAAAACCCTTTTCCGGTCATTTGATATCTACAAATGTAACTGATGGACAAATATCATAATTAACACAAATAAAATTTTAGTTGCTCAAAGGTTGCTCAGTAATCACTGTCTATAGCTAGTGGAAAGGGGATCTTCTCTGTATGTGAGGTTGAATAACAAAATCACTTTTCATTGTATCTACTACAATCATGTATAACTGTATTTTGCTTTGTATGTTTGTTTGTTTACTTGTTGTTAACTATGTAATGATGTGGGCCTCTGTGCTTGAAATAAAGAAAAAAACATATGATCTGCTCTGTTAATTCTTACTCAAACACTTTCATATGTATGGTGACAGGAGTCTAAATCCCTCCTGCTATAAGATTGCAACATGATGTAACCCAACACTAGTTACCATGGTGACAGACATCTGGTTCAGGCCATTGACCTTATTTGTTTGGAGAAGGAGAAGAAGAAGAGGAAGAACAGAAACAGAGCAAAAACAATATGTTTTCCTTTTGTGAAGGTTAACATTATGTGACTCACAACGTAAGAGGATTTTTCCTTGATGACTTGGAACTTGGTCTGCTCGCCGCTGGTGACGTGGAGTAAGTGGACGGGTTTGGAGGATGCGTCCTCCACGGTCTCTGCCAGCCACGTTTCCGTGACAACAGACTGCGCCGTCGACGTTCTGTTCGGATTGGACACATCCTCGGGGTCGATGGGTTCCCACTCCTGTGCCGTGTCGAAATTCTTCCCCTCTTTTCTAAAGTTGGAAGGCAAGGACAGTCTGAATGATACGTCGAAGAAGGTTAGACATCCAGATTAGACATCCCAAGTGTCCATCACAATTAGAAGATCAACTAATGAGAGAGTGGCAATTAGCAGCTTGACCAATGAGAGAGCAGTTCATCACCACGTTGTTTTTTGGCTGGACTTTTTTATTCACCCGCACACACTAGTTTTGGGGTCTTCAGAAGATGTCATCCATAAAAATTAATCAGTGTGGCTTAATGAACCCCAAACCTTCAGCTAGGTCATTTCTCTATAGATAAGGCTAGATCAATTTCATTTGTTGGTTCTTGGATTCGCCTCTTTGTTTTTTTTTTTCTGATTTGCAAAAAAAAAAAGATTTTAGTTCTGAATCGACTCAAAAATGCTCATATTTTGTCCCCAACAATTGAGGAAAGCCCTTTTCTTCCTAGTTGTTACAGTTTTTCCATCTATCAATGCATTGGTTTGATTAAAAGTTCAAAATTCATTGTTTAAATACTGACCCAGCCTTTTGTATTGACTTCATGGCTCCTATCGCAGCATTTGGGGTTATGATAGGATGCCTAGACCTGTTTTTATTTTTTTATTTTTTCTCCCTGTCACTTCATATTTTTTTCTGAAAAAATCAGACAACCAACAACTTAAATTGCTGTGCTCTAAATGTCATTGGTGTTATTTTTGGACCAAAGCTAGCTTATCCATCTGTCTTTTCTGAATGGGACATGTGTGTAGCCTGACCTGTTAGTCTCCAGGTAGTCCCTGTCCTCCTGTGTGAGGTGTGGTCGGGGGAAGTGTTTCTGGCCATCTGCCCACTGCTTGTACTTGGTGTAGGTCCAGATGCTACTGTGGTCATCCCTGCTACCAAAACCAAACAGGGAATGGTCCACTTCTGCCAGCTGAGGGGGGAGAAATACACTGTTTCACCACATATTTCCTCATAATATTATATCCTATATCTGGCTATAAAATCCATTATAAATAATTACAATGTTAATCTGTTACTAGACTAGCTATTCTATTTCTTCCAGAAATATGTTTTTAGATGCCAGTGATTTTTTTCACACAGTATAATACCAAAAAATTTTGAAATTTTGTATTCATTGCCTTACCAAATACTACAGTAAATTAATCGCAGTGACCTATGATCTTTCTTTATTTCTAATGACTTCACCATTTAACATATTGCTTTCTCTTCTTCTCCTTCTTCTTCTTCTTCTTCGAACCATTTCATTAAATGCATTCAATTTCTTCATAACATGAAATTTGGCATGAAAGTAGAGTGGCCAAATACAATAGACAAAAAGGTACAGCGGTTACGTTCAATAGTGGCCAGAAGACTGATCAAACATCAGGAACAATGTTAACCCACCTGGATGAAGACCCACGTAATGACGAAGATGACAATGCTGATGAACACCTGGATGTGACGGTGCATGGTAGGGGGGTGGGGGAGGCAGCAGTCACCTGGCTGAACAAACAACAACAACAACAACATAAACATCACCATCATCATGACACAGTCTTTAGGTTCATCCTGCTTCAGAATGCCCTGTGCTTATGTATTACATTGTATGTACATGTATATACATATTCATATTTCACATGATCTATATCTAGCTCATGGCAAGATGGAGAGATCGATCTGCTGGCAAAGCTGAAATGAGGACCTAATATTCTATCAAGATTAGTCCATGCCAAAAACTCTTTCCCTCGGGTAAACATTTATCCATAGAAATCCATCACCAGATTTTGACTTTGATATCTTATCAGGTAAGCCAACGCTATCTGGCAAGTTACCAACCATTCAAACAACCAAGAATGCAAGTGAACAAAGCAACATGCAAGCAAGCAACCAAGAAGGCAAGCAACCAAGCAAGCAATTAACCAACCAGCCAGCCAACCAACCAACTAACCAAGCAACTAACCAACTAACCATGCAACCAACCAACCAACCAACCAACCAACCAACCAACCAACCAACCAACCAACCAACCAACCAACCAACCAACCAACCAACCAACCAACTAACCAACCAACCAACCAACTAACCATGCAACCAACCAAGCAACCAGCCAACCAAGCAACTAACCAACCAACCAACCAACCAACTAACCATGCAACCAACCAACCAACCAACCAGCCAACCAAGCAACTAACCAACCAACTAACCAACTAACCATGCAACCAACCAACCAAGCAACTAACCAAAAAAAAAGCAAGCAACCAATTGCAATTAATGCAACAAACCAAGCAACCAACCAACCAACCAAGCAAGCAACTAACCAAACAAACAAGCAACCAAGCAACCAACAAACCAAGCAAGCAAGCAAGCAAGCAAGCAAGCAAGCAACCAACCAACAAACAAACAAACAAACAAAGCAACTAACTAACTAACCAACCAGATAACCCACACCAGTGAAAATCTAACCTGGATCAGGTCACCAGGCAACTTTACAGTTGGCAGACTTCTCCATGCCTGTTCCTGATGTATACAACAGGAGACAGCCAACATGTGGCAGTGGGGAGATCATTAGCGCCAGGCTTGACCTTGCAGTTCTACAAACCGGTTGGGACCTGAATGCATTTTGGACCATTAACTCAAGACAGCTGGGACAGATATCTATAGAGGCTATCCTACAAAGATCTCGTTTCATAGATGACATCCAGGCTAACATCTAGATACAAATTAACAAGCTTTGCTGGATGTCCATTAATAATCCTTCCTGGTCTTTATAAAGTAGAAAGAAAATTCTCCATGTTCCTTTGTAGCGCTTAAAGCTTCTCCCTGGTCACTTTTGCTGTAACTTACTGGTTCCATTATATAAGATTAACCTACGGTTGGGGGGGGGGTATAGGAGGGCCTGCATGGGGGGGTCCGCACAATGCTTTACGCTAAATTTTGAGAGCTGGCTACGTATTATGTTGAATTCAGGAAGCCTCCCCATTACGTTTTATGATAAATTTCAGGAAGCTCTATATGCAAAATGTGCCAATAATGCTCTATGTTGAATTAGAACAGTCCGTCTACGCTCTACGTAGAATTAAAACGGTCAATTACGCTCTACGGAAAAGGGCATGTGGCCCCCCCATATAGTGAACCTTGTTGTACTCAATGAAAATGTGTGTAGCTCCCCTTGATTTTGAGAATGATTCATAGAAACAAGTTGTTTATATCCCTGACTACAGGAGTCAGTGTAAGTCACAAGATCAGTACACGGGTAGAACACAGAATCTTGTGAAGTTGCCAAGTCTATAAATATAAAAAGCCTGCGGTGACAGGGTTTGGAATCAAAGAGGAAAATCTACAATAAGTAAAAAAAAGTTGTTGCTGGTAACATCTATCACCAATGGAATAATGAAAATAGGAAGAACTTTATTGCACGACAATTGCACATGGTACAATGTATGGCAAACTACATAAAACAAGTAACAAACAATAAAATAAAATTTGTTGAATAAGACCTAAGGCCACACCAATTTAATTTGTTGGTTCTCGGATTTTTTCAGAAAAAATATGAAGCGACAGGGTGAAAAAATAAAAACAGGTCTAGGCATCCTATTATAGGCTTAAATGCTACAAAATGAGCCAGGAAGTCAACACAAAAGGCTGGGTTAAAATTTAAACATTGAATTTTGAACTTTTGATCAAACCACTGCAATGATAGATGGGAAAACTGTAACAACTAGGAACTAAGGACTTTCCTCAACTGTTGGGGGGCAAAATATGAGCATTTTTCAGTTGATTCAGGACCAGAATCAATTTTTTTTTTTTTGCAAATCAGAAAAAAACGAAGAGGCGAATCCGAGAACCAACAAATTAAATTGGTGTGGCCTTACTAAAAACAATAAGGGCTAGCATAAGTCTTTGATGAAGTGTTACAATCGAGTGGGCTAATCACAACTTTCCATATTTTTTCTAATAACAAAGCAGCTCTTTATATATCTACCTATTTTTGTGTTGTGAGAACCATTACATATAAAGATACTGTATATTCAAATCTGTCTCCAACATCGAGACTCTTGAAATCTGTTGTATAAGTTATTACACTATTATTCCATAGGGGATGGTGAAAAAACATGGGTTTCATAGTGGGACTTGAATGTTTTCCAACTGGATCATTTACCGGGAAGTTTTCCTCATCAATTCCAGCAGCGTGGCTCTTCCCTTGTGTACAAGGGTGCGTAACAAGCCCTTTCAATGTCAAGGCTGATTACTAAAGTGCGCAGTAGGACTTACCTCAAAGGGATTATAAAAGTCTGACTGGCTGGCTGTGGAGTTAAAGGGCTTATATCTTAATGACAGTAATGCCGTACCTCAGTTCAACAAACTTAAAATATATCAGTCTATTATATTAGGCAGTTCTTCTACCCAGGGCATTTTGATATCTGAGTGCATGGCATCCAACATACATATATTTTTGTAAATGTAAAAACCGAAAGGGGCGAGCATGTCACAACCGGGAATCGAACCCGAGTTGTCCGCTTGGCGGTCACCAACGCTAACCATTACACTAAAAGGTCGCACGACCATTTAGCATGGTCAGTTAGCACTGTTACACTACTCCCCCTTTTCTTTCAAGATTCGTCCTCGAATCTTCCGAGTCCGACATCCCTGGAGCTGCCACACTTATCCTCAGTGCCAGTACTCACAGGGCCGGCATGCTCGCCCCTTTCGGTTTTTACATAAACATCCCTTTGCAAAATCACCAGTACTGATATGTGACTGTCAGCAAATGATCAGTTACTGACAGTCTTATTTCAGTAACATATCAGTAAAGCAGCTTGTGAATGTGATTGTTATGACTGCAATTCAACTGACATTATTGCCCCTGGCTCTGACTTAAAAAAATATGCATTGTTGCAAAAAATGTATATGGTGTGTATCTCTGCAGTTATACTCGTAGGTTGAAATCTACATTGTACACGTATCTTTAAAAATGACCTCAAAGTTTGAGGTGTAAGAAATTTAGAGAGGTTTGAGTCAAACCTCTCTAAATTTCTTACACCTTGGGTCCTCAAGTTACATTGCTCTCTATATGTACCATACAGAGCCTTGTTCAATTTTTTTCCAACAAATCTGAATAAAAAAAGCCACACTTACCAGTTTTCTTTGACAAAATAAATAAGTACTGCTAGCTCCATGTGTGAATCTCAGAGAACCGTAGGCCCTTTCAGTGTCCATGCAAATTAGAACCATGCAGTTGTACTAACATGTACCTGTACTGCAAACAACTCACTACAATGTATGTAATACTATGTATACTTGTAGTATAGTGAGATGATTGGTTATCTTACTTTATTCTTAGTAATGCTATACAGTATTATATAATGATATAACTCACCTCAGTGAACAGTACTGTGACTTAGAAAGCCCAGCTTTGAAAGCAGACATGTAGATGTGATTTGTACACCTTTCTGTGGCCAAAAGGACCTTTCACCTCTCTAACAAGTATCCTGAAGCCAAGCTATGTTAGAAATGCAGGCACTGTGGAATATGTGTGACTGTCTGTCTGTATACATGTAAATTGCAGTAATGAGACTACATTTGGTCTATGTTGATAAAACATGTGTATACATTTATGTCTAGCTACAAAATATAGTCATAATAAATACAATTTTTTAAAGTCAGGAGGTATTAAACCATTAAAATGAGATGTAAACATGGTAAAGCTTTAACCCAAACCATCTTGCCCTGGCCAAAGTGTACATGTCTAGAACATTTGGAATACCAGGTTACCACCTCTGAGCCCGATGTCAAACTTGCAAGTCTCTATTTTTTCGTGTACTACATGTACAATTACTATTATTCTATTATCATTTTAGGCCTACAACAAACATCAACTGAAAATTACAGTTCTGAAATAAAAGCATACAAACGTGGAACTGAAAAGACTAAGCAATTTATACTTGAACAGATAACTTACCGACTCTTCTTGTTTCAACCTCCTCTTACTAAAGACAGCATCATCCTCTCACACAAGATGTCATAAACATCATCCCCACACTAAAAACATGCCATCCACTGCCTAGAGACTACCACGTTTGTTTGCCACATAACAACTGAAGCAGATACACGCATATCCTGTCTAGAGAGTCAGGGGTAATCCATGAGTACATGGGATTATTACAAAAGTGCTGCACGAAGTCAAAACAACATCATATCACTGGATGAGACGTTGATGTACATACACGTAGTTGTGGGAGGGTATTACCGAGCAGCTAGACTGTGTGTAATGATAAATTGTGGGTTGAAACTGTGAATGTTTGTGCTACGTGGTGTTTCCTGGTCACATTGAATCAGAGCCAAGTACGACATGATCAGAGCTGACAGGAAGGGAAGCCTGGGTAGAGGTGCCAGATGGAACGGTCAGTTAAGAATTTACTGTAATTCCCGATTTTTTTTGCGGTACTTTTATGTTCGCAGTTTTCGCGGTCACTTCTGTACCACAAACTAATCATCATAACCGTTAACAAATAATTTGCTTTCTTTTTTGTTTTTTTGCACCTGTTGCCACCTTGAACATGTAGTTCCGCGAACATGTCATATCAAAACCGGAAGTTCTGCTGCAGTACCTTGAAAAGCCACCAGGGGGCACCAAATCTAATCATTTCTAGGTCTCACCAAGACCTATACATATATGCTTCTTGAGTTATCATGCTAAACCACACATACACACACACACACACAAAACCACACACACACACACACACACACAAAACCACACACACACACACAAACACTATTTGGAAAACATAACTTGGGGAAAGTACATGTAATTACCAAGGTTTCTGACATGGATCAGCTAAGGTCACCACAAATTACCAATGACCATGAACAAGCCGACCATCACAAATTGCATGGATTATTTCGTTAGGTCGGTCCTTGACAGGGACCATTGCAAATCACAATATTTCTGACATGGGTCAACTTAAACAGGGACCATCACAACAGCATCAATGAAGGTGGACTAGCTAGCTTGAGAGAATGGACTGTCACACATCACCTAGATTTTCATGATGGAAACATTGCTAGCCTGGTCACCAAACCTAATTCTGCTGCTGAGTCTCTTTCACTCATTACGTTTGGTAACTAAGCTGCTAAATTAGGTTTGGTAACCAGGCTAGACCATTGCAAATCACCAAGAATTCTAGAATAGGCCATTTAAACTTAAAAAGACAGGGTTTTCTTTACTGAAAATAGCTTTGACATGCTTGGTAAAAGTGGAATTATCCTTAAATACTGCTTTCAAACAACTATACAACATGAAAACGACAAGTACATGTAACTCAATAACACAATAAAGTTGAAGTACTGGACTTTGAATTGCAGAGACTATATATAATAATCCAAACCCCATTTTTAGAAGTGACCTTTATTTTTGCAAACCCTGATCATGACCTTTCCCCACCAATCTGGTTGAGCCAGGAATATATAATGTCAAAGGTTCCAAGTGGCTAAATAAAGGACAAGAAAAGTCAGAATATGCCAGGAGCTTCAATTTTGTTGAGTTCCTCTCTCCAGTTATCCTCTTTGAGAGATTGTAAGGCTTGCAATTCCAGAAGAAGCTGCTAGGGGCCCAAATGAGTACCAAAAGTGGACGTTCCACCACTGCACCTGAGAAAGCTGCCAGGGGGTCCCAAGTCTTATACTGTAATTTCTCGCTTTTGTTATACCAATTCCAAAACACAAAAAGTAAAATGTTATCATGATCATACACACGCACACACACACCACACCACACACACACATGCGCACACACCACACCACACCACACCACACACACACACGCACACACACACACACCACACCACACACACAACACACCACACACATGCAACACACACCACACACACACACACACACACACACAAACACACATACTGAAAACAAAGCCTCAATATTTCATTGAGGTAATAATAAAGAAAGAGAAAAAGGTAAGAGAGTTGTCCAGCTCACCCTGGGTTCTTCAGTAGTCACACTGATCTTCATGGCAGAACAACCACCGTCAGCAGCCGTGGTGGGGCGGGGGACCTGGACAGGGCACAGAGGACAGTCAGAGAGAAACAACAGAGCACGAATGCTGCTAAACCACAGGAATACAAAGCTGGTGTTGACTACTTTTACAAGCCGCCACATGCTGGCCTTATGCAGCAATCATGATGAGTCGGCATTGTACTCAGAGTTCTAGAGTTCTGTGGCACCTCAGTATACGTAGCCTGGGTACCATCCTCCGAAGTTACCGCCGGCTCCCTAGTATAGTCGGTTAAGCCACAATGGATTATGGAGGATGACACCCAGGCTTTAGCCTCAGAGTTATATTTTTGGGGAGAACAGGCAAAAATCAATGCGCGACCAGATATCATCCATAAAACCAAATCAGTGTGGCCTAAATAGCCCTAGTGTTTACCTTCACATGGTCTAGCACAGCAAACTACTTCTCCATTTAGTTCTTTTTAAACACAAACATATACAATGTATAAAGGGAAGCTTCTCCATGCCACTTGCTACATAATGTACTCCAACACCACAGGGTGTCTGCTACAGCACCAGTTACCATGGAGTCCTCATCAAAACAGGTGGCAATGAGCCTAAATCTTAATGACTAATTTTACACTACCAGTACGTTTTATTTTCATGAGAGTGCTAATTGTGTGCGTGCTCCTGTATTCCCTGTCTATATATTATCTAATAATTGGTAAAGCATGATGGTGTTTACAGGTCTATTACCTTACACTTACTCATTAACCCCTATCAGATATGTACATGTACGTAGTATACAACACTAAATCCACTATTATAAAATATATCAAAATGCCTGTTATTAGTATCAATATCACACCAAATCATGAACAGTACAGGCCCTCAAACAGTGATGCACAGTGAAGTTTTAACACCAAAAAAACATTTCTAAGACATAAGGCCACAAAATCAGTTATTGGAAAACAGCTATGCTCTTTTGATCTTAACCATTTTAACCTTCATCCTTCATAGGACTCTACAGCCACATGCAACTCCTCATCATACTGACAGACATCCAAATCTTCATCATACATATACATGTATAGAAGCAAAACCAAGGAGGTTCTCTCTAACCATCTTGACTGAAGTAACCATTTTGTTACCAATTGTCTATTGGATACAGCATTAGGCAACAGGGAGAAAAACAGTTACTGCAAATTGATAGCTTAGGGTGAGACTTTCGTAAAACTACCATAAAATGAATGCCTCATAAAAAACGCCATAAAATTGGCATGTGTTGTAAAATGTCCTATATCTTGTCATATCTGTTCTGGTATAGTGCATGTAAAGTATAGTGTGAAAAGCAATATTCAAAACTGATTGAGAATTGATTCTTCCCGTCTTCAGGGCAATATTGAGTTTGGACACAAATTAGTCAAATAAACAGTTATCTATACTGTATGTCGGTCTAGCAAAAGATTATGGTGGCCAAATTACTAGTAGTTCTCAGGCACATCTAGACTTTTGAGGGGAAATTTTGACATTTTTTAGATGTTTGGCTCACCAATGGTTCTACATGATATGGAAAAAAATTATGATTTTGAAAGATTCTGAAACTGATGTTTACGTTTAAAATCTACCTCAGCCTCATCTAAAATAATAGAAATTTAAAGAAATATGGAAAAATTTGTCAATTTTTTTAAAGGCATAATGACTGTCTTGTCCTACCTTCTCTTCTTCCCCAAGGATGCCACGATTTCTTCTGAGAGAGGGTTCTGGGAAAAATACAGAGTCTTGAGACCAATCAAGCACGCTGTCTGAATCCGAATCAGTCTCGCTGACTGACAAAGAAAAGACACCTTGCGAATCCTCCAATGCTGAAGACAATCCTTTGCCGCCTATCTGTCTCATTTCTTTGGTTATCTGCTCTTCAAATAAACGTTTACACGGAATCATCAGATTATTCCTGGAAGGGTTCTTTCACTCCTTTGAAAGATTTTCTGAGCCTGGAGCTTTTCATACCCGAGTTATGACATGGTATTTACATTCAAGCAGACGCCCAGTACTAGGGATTAATGTTACAGTGTAGACACTGGGTGCAATTTGCTGCCCTTCTCTGAAGAGAACACATGAGCTCAGGATATGTAATCCCCTTGGCTCAGGCCCAGGGCAACACTTGGCAGCGTGCAGAATTCCAGCCTCCTCTCATCCGTGTAACGCACTAGACTTCTAAGCTTCTTGCCTCCGCACACATATATAGAGATATGGTGGGCTCCTTGCAATCTCTGCCCATAGGGGATAATTTCACAGCATTAGCACCTCTGCAGAAAGAAAACTCTGGGCATCCCTGTAACAGTCATGGCCAGGATCCAATTTTTGTCCATGCAGGTCTTGGCGTGAGCAGAATTAGGGCGCTGCAAGTGCACTTTTTAGATGAGAGTTGACCTTATTGTTGAGCACATTGCAACAAGGTCTGCTCAAGGGCAGCACTTCAAACAAACCCATTCCAGCGAGATGCTTCCAGAATTCAGCCAGTCCCTTTGAAGTCCGGGAGAATCACTGGATTGTAAAACCTCGTGCACTCATTCACCGAGGAACACTACAGGCAATCATATCGTAGATACACGTTGATTCCGAGTGAAAACATTCTCTGCTAGAACTGCATAAGTCATACTATTACCAGCCAAATCCTCTGTCAAAGCCGTACTGTTAACATCTGTTTCATAGAGACAGCGAAGACCTCGGACAATAGCGAGCAAATGAACCAAGGAATCAAACGTCACGCGAGACACAGAGAATTGAATAGGCCGTACGTTTATTCTAACCACGGGCGTCAGTTATGACTAGGGCCAGGCTGGGTGGTAATGACACACTATCAGCCCGATACACGGTGTTATTGATTATTTGTTAACTGCACATCTGGCGTTTTCAAAAGACCTAACGTTACATTCCTGAATGCAAATCTACTTGTCGGTAATGGGGCTTTGCCCAAGTATCCAATATTCCAGGATCTTGTTGCAGATTTTGATCATTCGGACAGATTTGCACCCACTAAATTTTAGCACATTCTGATATAGAAAGGTTTGAAACTTATTTGTACCGCACCACACTTTTCAGACAATTCTGGGTGGGACTTTTCCAAAGTAAAATTGGAACTATAAATTAGATTTGGCAAATTTCTTGACGATATTTTTCCTTTCGATAATAAAAGATGACCAGACTATTGCTCTTAAAGGAATTGCACCTGACCATCCAAAGGGAAGTAGAATCGGAGCGTGTCTTGACAACCATGAAATTGGTTCCTTTCAAAACACCATTCAGCTATAAAAGATACATTAAACGTTAAATTTTGCATACCTTGTCTGACAATACACAGTATATATGATTGTTGCAGTGGCGGGTCTTTAGAAGGATTAATACCCTTAGTTTATGTTTGTTTAAATCTTTAATGTGGCATAAAGGATCAATTTCCATACAGCACTGGGTAAAAGGCTCTTTACCGGGTCAGTAAAATTGGCCCTATCTTTGCAAAATATAGGGTGGGTTCACCTGGACCAGTTTTGACTGGTATAAAATTCAAGAACCAGTTTACCTGAACCAGTTTGGACTTGTATAACATGCAAGAACCGGTCTAACTGGTCCAGTATGGATTGGAATAACATGCAAGAATCCGTTTAGCTAGACCAGTTTGGACTGGTATAACATCCAAGAACTGGTTTAGCTGGACCAGTTTGGACTGGTATAACATGCAAGAACCGGTTCAGCTGGACCAATTTGGACTGGAATAACATTCAAGACACCGTTTAGCTGGACCAGTTTAGACTGGTATGACATGCAAGAACCTTCCCTGCTGCAGCATACCCAGATATGAATACAGATATGTTTCAAAATTAGATTGTTTGATCCTCAGCTCGAGAAAACTGTGAACTGAGACTGTTTTGATGAAGACAAATCTAACCGACCTGATCATACATGTAACCCAGGGGTAACCACCTTGATCAGACCTGACCATGAAAACTGCGCCACACTTCCATTAGTGAGGCAACCTTGCTGTGATGTCAAATGGTTCCATTTGTGGAAGATACGTGAATTCCCTTTGGTGTGTTAGAAATTCTGACTACACAAAGCTTCTGCAGCAGCTCTATAGATAAAATCTTTTCAAAACCTGACTTTTTAAAAGCTAGTATGACACGAACACTTCATACTACACAAAAACATACTGAAGCCAAATTTCTTCTTTATTTCTTCTTTATACATATGCCTAGAGTTTTAAACCGTCAACTGTCAACAGTGTAACAAAATACAGTAAAATATACTATGGCATGATGTAATTATTTTGGTGGTGGCCAGTATTTTCACAATGAAATACAGACAGATCTGCTGTTGGAAAATGAAGCTTCAAATCAGCTTCCCGGGGGCTAATATTAAGAAATTTAATGCCAATGTCTTTCAAAGGCCAGACATGCAAATTGAATTATCATGAATTCATGAGTTAATTTTGTATGGCTTAAATTTCTAATCACTTCAGCACTGGATGCCAATGAAGGGCCCTTCTAACCCAGGAAAGTCAAGAGAGCAGACAGAAAACAGTCATTTTTGCTTGTGGATCCAAAATAGTAACATGTGAAATTTACAGACTGTAAGATAAAGATAACGTTGATGCCAAAATTTGTTACCTAATGCTTTTTATTTTACAGTCAACTTTTTAACTTAACATTTCTTCATTTAAATGCTCTTCTCCTAGCAGGCAGTATAGTAACTACATGTATACCCACAGTACCTACATGTACTACTTGAGTAAAGTAGTTTACTGTAGTAAGTACAGTATCAGTTTACTCTTGGTCTTTTTATTCTATGATAAAGAGGGCCTGCAAGGGGGGGGGGTCCCCAACAACGCTCTACGCTAAATATTCAGAGCCGGCTACGTATTACACTGAATATACATGTACTGTAAGAAGCCTCCCCCATTACGCTTTACGATAAAATTCTGGTAGCTACAACGCATTACATAAAATAAAACAGCGAATTGATCTCTACGCAAAATGCGCCAATTACACTCTACGTTGAATTAGAGCGGTCTGTCTACGCTCTACGTAAAATTAAAATGGCTGATTATGCTCTACAAAAAAGGGCATGCAGGCCCCCATATAAAGTTAAATATTACTAGCTTTATGATTATTATGAATAATAATTGTGTAGGTGTACTTGCTGAAGCAACATCCAAGCCTCATACACTCATCTTTTAATTAGACAAATTCTTCAGAAATTTTGTCCTTCTTTTTGTGACTTACCAACAAACAGGTTTTAGACACATGCCTGCTATTGGTTTTCCTTAACTAGGTTAATCCATACAGTTTACTACACCAGTGAAAATGGCCAATCTAATGCTGAGTTGGCTGAGGCAATGCAATCAATTCAAGTCGCTATCATCACCAATTTGATCAACTGTAAAACAAGTTACTGCAGGCCTCCGCAGCTGAATGATTTGATTAAGTTACCCAGGTAACCCTACCAGCGGCTGTGTAATAATAATCCATTACGCAGTCACTGGGAATTAAGGTTAAAGAACTCCAGCACCTTTTCATTAGTATCACTACCCGAACAGACAACCTAATCACCAAGCAGATACAGGTGTAGCTTTGGCGTGCATCTGTTGGCGTTCTCTGTCACACTAATATATCTATAGTGCAGTGCCACATGTGTATGCAACATTTGTACAAGAAAGAAGCTAAAACTCATACAAAACAAATGACAAACTAGAAAGGTAACATTTGCATTTAGCAAATGCATATGGTCTGCTCTGTTAATTCTTACTCAAATACATTCATATTATATGGTCAGACAGGAGTATAAATCTCTCCTACCATAAAATTGCAACATTATGTAACTCAACACCAGTTACCATGGTGAGAGACGTCAACAAATCAGATCATTGGCCTGGTCAGAGGTCAGCATTTGGAACAGAAGACGAAGAAGAAGAGGCAACATACTAGTAGCAAAAGCAATATGTTTTCCTTCGGTAAACATGACAATCCAAACCCCTGTATATATACATGCTTGAAAAGCAGAGATAGTCCAGTTTTATATAATGTCAAGTGAGACATAATATAAGACAAGACAATGGCCACTTTCAAGGTGACACAAAATATAGTTCTAGTCCATTTACTGTATACCTATTTGACCAAATGCTGATCCCAAAGAAACAAATAACTACAGTTTGAGAGAAAGTTGCTACAAAACTAAAACAAAAAACACATAAATCCATCCTTACCATTTTGAATAATCCTGTTCACGAACAAAACAACAAACCAATTTAACTATATTTAAATATATTCAATAAGTAGTAAACACAATATTGAAATTCATTCATTACTGTACATGTATGAATTGTCCAATGCACAAACTGACCAGGGAAAGAAAAGACCAATGAAAACAGTCCTATACATTGTACCTAGGTGAAATTTACATCTGGTAATTCAAATATACAGGTGTCCAAATACTGGTACATGTACAATGTCATGCAGCAGACCTCTTAGCAGCACATGTAGGCGGCTTCCACAAGGTCATTCAAGGTCAGATCCCTTCACCAGTCCCCTACAGGATTCATTTCCTGGCCTGCTCATTTTTGCAATCCCTTCCAGGCCGCTGCACTGAGGCCTAGGAAAAAAATGTTCCTGTTTCCCGACCGACCCTAGAAAAAACTACCAACCCTAGCCTTTTTTTTGGGTGGATCCCTGCAAGGAACATAAATTTTTCGAGCTGATTGACGTTTTCT